GGAGTTTTAGTTTTTCAGGATGAAAAGTTCTGGAGATGGTTGGTGGTGATGACTGCACAGCAGTTGACTGTGCACTTAAAAGTGGTTAAGATGGTAAATTTTGTGTATTCCACACCATTAAAAATAAAGGATTTTATGCTCCTTGTAGATAAATTGGAGAATGCAGAAAAAACATACTTAAAACCTCATCACCCTGCAATTAACAGTTTAACATTTTAAGATAATCTTTTATTTGCATGTACATACATGAGAAAAGTGTGCAAATCATAACTTTCATAAGGATTGATGAATTATTTTAAAGTGACCATCAAGGTCAGGAAATAGAGGATTGTGTTCATCCCAAAATCTCTGCTCATGGCCCCTCAACAATCTCATGTCCCTACCTCCACCTGAAAATGTAACCGCTATCCTGATTTCTCCACCACAGAATAGTTTTACCTGCTTTGGGATGTAGACAGCAGGAGTCACACAGTCCTTTGTGTCTGGGTTCTTTCACTGCACATTCTCTCTGTGAAAGGATTCATGCTGATGCAGCTGCAGCAGTTCATTCGTGGTCACTGCTGTGTAGGATTCGATTGCACAAATGCAGCACTATTTATACATAGTATGTTGGGAATTTGGATTGTTTCTGCTTTTGTATAATATGAATAATGCTCTCATAAACATTCTTCTATGTGTCTTTGTTGAAGATATGTACGTATATTTGTTGCATACATACCTAGGAGATAGAATTGTTAGTCCATCGAGCATTGATATCTTCAACGTATTCATTACATTGTAACAGACTGCCAGGTGGCTGTATCAATCGACACTTCCAAGAGCAATATATGAGTGTTCCAAATGCTTCATGTCCTTGCCAACACTTGACATTGTCAGTCTTTCTAATGTCAGTTATTTTGGTGGTTTCGTAATGGTATCTTAACTTTGGTTTCAATCTGCTTTTGCCAATGATCAGTGTAGTACCTTTTTATGTGTTTATTGGCCCTGCAGATATTCTCTTATGTGAAGGATCTGTTTAAGCCTTTCGTATATTTTTAAAAATTGAGTTGTCTGCTTCTTAATTTCTAGATGTTCAATATATTTATTCTGGATACAATTTCTGTATCAGATATGTATATTGCAGATATTTTCTCCTAATCCGCCACTTGCCTTTTCACTTCATTAATGGTGTCTTTTGGGAAACAGAAGTTTGTACTTTTGATGAAGTTCAGTGTATCAGTTTTTTATGCTTTTATGGTGAATTCATTGAAAAATTCTATTTGAGAAATTTATGGTCATTAAGGTCTTCTGGTAAGTTAACTTTTAGGAGGCATAGCATCTGTCCTTTCATATTTGGATTTGTAAGATACTTGGAATTAATTTTGCACATGGTGTGAAGTAGGGCTTAAGATTTCTTTTCTGCATATGGATGTCCAATCAACTTAGCACCATTTGTTGAAAATACCCCCTTTTCCCTAGTCTTCTGCAATGTCAGATTGTCATAAATTAAGTGATTACATTTATGAAGTTGTTTCTGGACTCTGTTCTGTTCCTTTAATATATTTCTCTATTCTTTATTTAAATGTACAGACAATATCATACTGTGCTAGCTATTCTTAACTCTTTTCACTTCTACATGTATTTTAGAATTAGCTTCTAAATTTCCATGAAAGTACTTTGGGAATTTTTATGATGATTACAGTAAGTCTATGGATACAATTGAGGGAAACTATCTTCTTTGAGTCTTAATTATTCATGAAGTTGGTATTCACTTATTAGATATTCTTTAATTTTTAAAAATGTTATTCATGGATCTTTTGTGTAGAGAGCTTGCACTTCTATTAAATTTATTCCTATTTGAGTTTTTTAATACTAGTGTAAGAGGAATTTTGTTAACCTTTTAAAAACTGCTTCCTAATAGCATATAGTAATAAATTTTATCTTTGTGTAGAGTTGATGTGTACACGAGGACCTTAATAAATTCACTTCTTAATTCTATGTTTGTCTATTCTTTGCTTGTCCTATGTGTGCAATCACATTGTAAAAATGATAGTTTTATTTCCATCTTTACAATCTTATATTTATTATTTCCTTTTCGTGCCTTGTTGCACTGACTAGGACTTTCAGTATGATGTTAAATGGAAGTTGTGACAGTGAGTTTTCTTGACTCGCTTTTTAGTTTAGGGGATGAGCTTTTACTATTCTCCAATAAATATGATGTTAGCAGTTATTTTTTCAAAAGTTCTTTCTCAAATTAAGGTGCCATATGACAGAAGGTGCCATCTGTCATATGTTTGCTAAAGGTTTTAAAAAATCATGAATTGATGTTGAATTTTATCAAATATTTTTCTGCATCCACTGGCTTGGTCTCCCTCAATCTGGAATAGTTCCTCCAACTCTCCTTGTGTTCTTGGTGTTTTGTATTACTGATGTGATGTGTTTTTCTCAGCACAACGTATCAGGAGGCTTGTGATATCATTCTATCTCATTATTGGTGATGTTAACCTCGTTACTTTTTTAAGGTAATATCTTCCCTGTTTCTCCACTATTTTTACCTTCGTAATTCATACGTAATCTTCGGTGAGGTACTTAAAAGATTTATGCAAGTACATCAAGTTTTCACCTACCAGTTTCAGCACCTACTGATGGCTTCTCTAACCTCATCATTTCTTCATTTATTGGTTCACTTTTATCATTTGTTGTTGGTGATCTATTGTGAAGGAGAGCTCTACCTGTTTCCATTTCAATACAATTGAATATGTAAATTATTTGTGTCACTATAGACTTGTGGGTTTTCCATTTGAGGATAATCCGTTCATACCATTGTTCCGATGAGTAAATTGTCCCGGATTTGGTGAGCAGGAGCTGATTCATTCAGTCTCCTCGTTCCGCGTGCTGTGTCCACCTTATTCTTTAAGCACTTGGCTACTTTCTGGCACAAGATGTTCCAGTCTCATATCGTACATGCCCAGCACCGACTGTGGAATCAAGCCTTTTTCTAAAGATTTTTGGTTCATTTTAGTGAAGAATGATATTAATATTTAGAAAACACTACCTGGGTACCCAGTGTGCTTATTGTTTCTATGGTGCCATTGCTTCTAGAGGTAGCACAAAGAGCTAGGAAAGACACGTGTGTGCATCTGTACACACATTTGTGTCCATCTGTCTACCATCATGAGTACACACATGCAGACTCGAACTCCTGGCCTCAAATGATCCTCCCATCTCAGCCTCCCAGAGTGCCAGGATTATAGGGGTGAGTCATCGCGCCGGCTCAGTTTCTTCAATCTCAACCCACTACAGGGTGCCTTCTACTCGACCTCCTTTCCGCCTTTGTAATTCCATTCCCCGACAGTGGGAAGGCTGGCTCTCATTACTCTCCAGTGTAGTTACTCATTTCTTCAAGTCGAGAATACACAGAAGGTAGTTTCAAAATTGCTAACCATAGTACTGTAAAAAGAAAACCTACTAAATTGAAGTTCCTTACTTGTTCCTTTTTTTAAAAAGGTAAGTTTGCACACAGTGAAATGCATACGTTTGATGCATAGGATTGAGTGAGTTTTGACAAAGGCAGGCACCCGTGTAACCACATCGCTGACTACAGACAGAACATTATATCATCTCAGAAAGTTCCTTTGTGCTCCCTGAAGTCAGCATGTTGAAGAGACATCCGCACCCCCATGCTTATTGCAGCACTGTTCATAATGGCCAAAATACAGAATCAACCCGAGTGTCTATCAGCAGATGAATGGATAAAGAAAATGTGAGATATACACACACAATGGATGCTACTCAACCTTACAAAAAGAAGGAAATCCCAGCAGTTTTGACAACACAGATGAACCTGGAGGACACTGTGTCAAGTGAGACAAGCCAGTGAGAAGCCACAGTATTTTCAAAGAGCCCCATGTCATACGATGGGCCACAAAGACTGCAAACCACCGTCCTATTTTCAGCCTTGTTCTCCCCAGTGATCCCAGGGACCCTCTCGCTGGCATAGTCTGTTGTTGCCTTAGCAAGGTGGGCCTCTCCTAGGCCCACCGTGGGGCCTTGGGGGGCCTGTCATTGGCAGGTTTCCTGGCCTGACATTGTTCATCTCTGACCCTGCAGGCCCCAAGCAGGCAGTTTGGGCAGCTCCACCTCATTCACTGTGAATCTTTGTGGCATCACTTTACGATTAGCTCCAGGTGTTCGAGTCCATGTCACAGAGTTTGACCTTGGAGGACCCTTTGTGTCACCCCTTAAGAAAGGGATGGGGGGTTGAGCATCCCAATTACTCTGACTTTTGGAACAAAATTCCTTCGGAGAGTGGAGAAGCCGAGGTGGATGAAACCTGATCATTACATTATGTAGAAAAAGATGACTGTTTTAAAAGGGAAAAAAAAAAAAGCATTGTGATTGTTTTCTAGATCTTTGAGTTCTAAATGCTTCTGCAACTACTTTAAGAATGTACTAGTTGGCTAGGACCTAAAAAAGTTAAGAGTCACACTTCATTTTTAGAGTTTCTTAAACATGAGGTGATTTCCTTTTTTCAGCACCTATATTTTCTTCCTTGGAAATTTCCTGTGGACACTTTCCCTAGACAAGTTAAAAAAACACACACATATTTCTTCCTTAACAGTTGATGTACCAGTCTACTGGTAAATAAGTAACACTTGAAAAAATTTCAAATTGCATTTATGCACATTGTTAATTAAATTCTCCCAATACACTGGGAGGTGAGACAGATATTTCCCAGAGGAGATGTTTACATGACATATTCAAGGACATTCCAGTGGCCAGAAGTAGACGTGGCTGGAACCCCCCGTACCTTGGTGCCCCTAATTCAGTGACTGATCTGTGTCTAAACACATGACACTCTGTAACTTTGAGGGAGCTGTTTCTGAGAAGTAACTGAGCCATCCCAGACTCAGAATGGCCCACAGAACAGGCAACTGTTTCCCAATTTTTCATTAGGAAGAAAAATGTCTTGGGTGGGGCATGTCACTAGATGAATTCACCTCTACTGCTTCACCAGAGCGCTAGGAGTTCCAGTACTGCACGATCTTCAGAAAGTCCCCTTCCACGGCCGGGCCCTCCAGTCTGGGCAGCATATCCACTCCACCGCTCTCTTTCCTCTCCCTGGGAAGGACAAAAATCAGGTTTTGTTTTCTTACGTTTGGTTTTCTTTAGCAGTCCTAGAAAAGCACACAAAATCTCCAGAACAGGAATTTACCACCCTGGCCCTGTGGAGTGGATCAAGACCAGCAAGGTGGCTCTCAAGAGCTCAGGCCTGGATTCAAAGTGCCCTCGTTCAGCCACCCACTGGGTGCGGCAGGCAACCTCCATGATGGCCTCAATCCCACTTCCTGCTGCTCACACCCTTGTGTATTCCCTCTCTCACTGGGCCAGGGTTGGTCTGTGTGACCGACACAACAAGGCAGACGTGATGGGGTATCACTTTCAAGATTAAACAACAAAAGAGTGTGGCTCTGTTTTGGACTGTCAATCATTTTTCCCAGCCACCATCTCTCTCAGTCTCTTGTTTTGGAGGGAGCCAGCTGCAATGTCACAGGCAACCTTCTGGAGAGTAGCTGAGCCTCCTGCCCACAGCCACACAGCAGGTTCAACAGCCCCCAAACCCCAGCCAGCAGTGTAACTGAGACCTTGTGGGACACCATGAGCCAGAATCGCACAGTTAAACCATTCCTGTATTTATGACCCTCAGAAGTTGTGTGAGACAATAAGTGTCTGTTGTTTTAAGTTACTAAGTATTGAGGTAATGTATTATGTAGCAATAGATAACTAATACACTGGGAAAATTATAACCTCAGAATTCACCACTGGTTGAGAACATAACGGTGTCTGGCACTGTGCTAAGTGCCTTATGTGTGCATTTTCTTTCAGTCTTCACGAAATATCCCCATGGAGGAAGATGCCGTCACAATTTTACAGATGAGGAAACTGAGGCTCAGATAGGTGAACTTGTTCACAGCCGTATCCCTGGTAGGTGGGAATAGCAAACTCTTGTTCAAAGCAAGCAGTGAGGATGAAGAAAACAAAGAAACAATAATGAAGAAAAGATGAAGATGGAGGAAAAAAGAAAGAAAATATCAGACAGGAGAATTCAGGTCACTGTTTCCACCAGACAAAAGCAGGGGTTGGGGGTTTGAACAGCCACAACAAGGAATCTATGAATCCCCAGGAACTGAGAGCAGAAGAGGGGCAGGATCTGCAATAACAGCATTCTAGGTCCAGCATTTCACTCTTTAGAAGGGACTTTTTTCGTTGGGTAATTGTTTTTGCACAGGGGACCTAGTGGAGACTTACAAAATGACCTCTTCTCTCTGCTTTTGGCTTGAGAAGGCCCCACACAAGGTCAGTATGTCGTGGACTCCGATGTTATTCTTGCTCAAGTCCAGGTATTTCAGAGTTTGGTTGCTGCAGAGCATGGAGGCCATAGTCTCGCAGCAGATGGAGGTGAACAGGCATCCTTCCAGCCTGAGAGACAGAAGCAGACAGCAGGAAAGTTACCACATCCCATACCTGAGAGAACAACCAACATGGTGGCTTACAGCCTGGAAATCACACTCGGACAGGAACAAGTAATTTCCTCCCAAATGTGTTCTAAGTACCTGCAATCCATCAGTTTTTTGGTGTATGTTGGGTGATTTTTAAGATGAGGCTATGAAAGTCCTCACTATAAGAAATTATGAGCCAAATATGTCTTTCAAAAATTGATTGTAAAAAAAATTGATTGTAATGACTTATCTTTGCTGATTTGAAAGATATTTGTTTATACTACCTGCATGCCAGGCACCCTACTGTGTATTCTCAACACAACAGTGAGCAAATCAGACACCATCCCTGGCTTCCTGGAACTCACGATTGACTGGGGTGGGGTGGGAGGGAGGAGGCAGGTAACCACATAAATATATTCGAATAGTGTGGGTTCATTATCCTCAGGGGCCAGGTGTTTGGATCCTTCTAGGATTAAATCACTTTGCCCTCACATATAGCACTCACAGCAAAATGGGAGCCAAAGGTCCACAAGTGAACAACCATGCCACAGCAGAGAAGTGCTGTGTATTGCATGGTGTATGTGCCATGAGGGGAAGGTATGGAAACCAGTAGCCTTGGACCCTGTCCTTGGACAAAGAGTGAAGTCTCCAGGAGGCAAGGCTCTTACGAGTAGTACAAAGCAGACACCACAGAGGGTCATCTACTTTGTCCCTCTTTGCTTTCTTTTTCACCATCTACCTCTCCTGCCCCATAACCTTGACTAGTCAATAAAGAACAAGGTTTGGAAAAATATAGTTCTTGGAAAACATTGTCACTATGTTTACTGGGATTGTACCCATTCCTCTGAGGAAGAGGCACACAAACACAAGCAACCACCACCTATTGGTTGTAGTTAGCGTTGGAAACTGCTGCCTAAGTCACAACTTCAAGGATGCATACTTGACTTTGCCATACTTTGTAAGAATCTTGACCTTATCAGCACATGGGACATTTTCCAAGATTGCTCACATCTTAGGACACAAAAGAAGTCTCAGAAAATTCAAAGAAATTGAAATCATACCATGTATCTTCTCAGACCACAGTGGAATAAAACTAGAAATGAAATCCAAGAGAAATGCACAAATCTTCACAAGGTCATGGAAATTAAACAACCTGCTGAATGATCCTTGGGTCAGTGATGAGATTAAGATGGAAACCAAAAGATTCCTCAAACTGAATGACAAAGGGGACACCAACTTTCAAAATCCATGGGATACAGTAAAAGCAGTCCCAAGGGGAGAGTTCACACCCTTAGAGGCTTACATCAAAAAGACAGAAAGATCACAAATTAACAACCTAAGGTCACATCTCAAGGAACTAGAAGAAGAGCAAACCAAATCCAAAGCCAGCAGAAGAGAAGAAATAACAAAGCTCAGAGAAGAGCTAAACAAAATGGAAACCAAAAAGCAATACAAAAGATCAATGAAACAAAAAGTTGGTTCTTTGAAAAGATATACTAAATTGATAGACCAGTAGCCAGATTAACCAGAGATAGAAGAGAAAGGACTCAAATAAGCTTAATCAGAAATGAAAAAGGAAACATTACAACTGATACCACAGAAATACAAAATATTATCCATGAATACTACAAAAACTTCTATCCACATCAACTAGAAAATGGAGAGAAAATGGTTAAATTCCTGGAAACACGCAACCTCCCAAGCCTGAAACAGGAAGAAATAGGAATTCTGAACATTCCAATAATGATCAGTGAGATTGAAGCAGTAATAAAAAAAAAACCTCCCAACAAAAAAAAAAAAAAAGCCCCAGACCAGACAGATTCACAGTCAGGTTCTACCAGACCTAAAAAGAAGAACTGGCACCCATCCTGTAGAAATTATTCCATAACATTGAAAAGGCAGCAATCCTCCCTAATTCATTCTACAAAGCCAGTATCACCTTGATATCAAAGCCCAAGAGAGGACGCAACAAAAAAGGAAACTGTGGACCGGTATTCCTCATGAACACAGATGCAAAAATCCTCAACAAAATACTAGCAAACTGAATTCAACAACACATGAAAAAGATAATTGACCATGATCAAGTGGATTTCATCCCAGGGATGCAAGGATGGTTCAACATTTGCAAATCAATAAATGTGACTCACCACAAAAACAGAAGCAAAAACAAAGACTATATGGTCATCTTCTGGGTATCTACCCAAAGGAAATGAAGTCATTTTATCAAAAAAGACACTTGCACTTGAATGTTTATCTCAGCACAATTCACATTTGCAAAGATGTAGAATTGACCTAAGTGTTAATCAGTTCATAAGTAGATGAAGAAAATGTGGTGTATCTATACCAGGGACTACTACTCAGCCACAAAAAGGAATGAAATAATGTGTTTTGTAGCAACTTGAATGGAACTAGAGACCATTATCCTAAGTGAAGTATCTCAGGGTTGGAAAACCAAACAGCACATGTTCTCAGTAATAGGTGGGAGCTAAACAATGGGTGCACATGGGCACAAAGAGATATAAAGGTCATTGGAAACCAAGAACAGGGGAGGTTGGGAGGGGGTGAGGGGTACAAGCTTACCTATCGAGTACAGTGAACACTGTTCTGGTGATAGGTACACTAAAAGCCCCGACTTAAGTATCATATTATACAAGGTATCCAGGTAACAAGACATTTGTACCCTCTTAATATTTTAAAATAAATAAAGATCTTGACCTTGCCTCAATCAGGGAGGTGCCTGGTCTTCGGGTGCTACCTGAGCAGCTGTAATAAACAGAGCCTTTACCTCTGTTTGAGTTGCTTCAATCATTTTCTTTTAATAGTAGAAAGAGTAGTTTTAAATTACACATCATTTAAATTGGTTATTTGTTTTAAAATAATTATTACTTATTATAAATAAAACCTACATGTATGTGAGGAATATTTTTTAAATGAAGAGAATAAACAATAAAAGCCTATTTTTTCCCCTGGGAAAAAATGCAGGTGTTTTTTTTCTACAAAAGTAGAGTTCTGTGAAATAGTAATAAAATCTAGGGAATTTTAGATCAAGAAGTTTGGGATGGCAGTATGGTTTGAATAGTTGTCTCCTCCAAAAGTCATATTGAAACTTAATCCCCAGTGTGGCAGTATTGAGAGGTGATTGGGTTGTGATCGATTCATAGACTTATGGGTAAATGGATTAGTGGGTTCTCATGGGAGTGGGACTGGGGGCTTTGTAAGAGAAGGAAGAGGCCTGAGCTGGTGCCTGAGCCCCCTCTTCAAATGATGCCCTGCACCTCCCCAGGACTCTGCAGAGTCCCCCAGCCCCTTGGACTTCTCAGCCTCCATAACTGTAAGAAATAAATTTGTTTTCTTTATAAGTTATCCACTTTCGGGTATTCTGCTATAAGCAACAGAAAACAGACGAAGACAGATGAGGCCCATGAGTTTTATACCGAGCCAAGTTATTGCTCATGGGTGAAAGTAGATTCTAAAACAATAGTCTCCCATAAGCAAAGGCTTAGAGAGAATATGATGTAAATACTTCCAGTATGGAAACTCCTTTCATAGTTGAAAAAAATTTTCACCTCTTCTAAGAGATAAATCGACATTTACAACCCAAGACTAAATTTGTGGAGTGAAAGAATTGTGATTGGCAGCGAATACTGAATAGCCCTGAAGGAGCAAATTACCAACAAAAACAAACACGAGGCAAAGGCATTATATGGAACCAAAATGTTTGTACCCCCATAGTATTCTGAAATAAAAAAAAAGAAAAGAAAACTCAAGTCACAGATAGTAGAAAAAATTTGCATAATATATATCTGACAAAGAACTTTTATCCAAAATAAATAAAGTATTGTCATGACTCAAAAAAAATAAAAAATCTTGTTTTCTGATAAAATTTTAAACAGTTATAAAATATTTTAAGCATACCGAAAAAAGCAAACAAAACTAATCCTAGTAAGGAAAGATGAAATATAAAAATAATTTAAATGATCTAGATTTAAAATCCAGATTATGCTAATGGAGAACCAAAAATGTAGGTAGAAAATGCAAAAATAGTTTCACTCTTTGACTGCCAGAGAAGAGAGGTTTACAAGTCTTTTCCAAATACTTAAGGCAACTACTCAAAGAATTAAAAGTAGGATGAATCCTTTCCTGTCACGGGCTATTATTATACATGTTAGCACAAAGACCAAACAGGAGAGAAAAAGAGAATTATATATATAAAAAAAATCCTAAGCATAAAAGTCGATTTCATAAGACCAACCATCTTAAGTATCAGTCTAAAATCGACAAACTCTTTTTTATCTTGTATTAAACTGGAAGAATATTTCCTAAAACAATTGTTAAGCGCAGAGTGCTGCGTCCCACCCTTAGAGTTTCTGATTCCCGAGGTCTGGGGCCCAAGAACTATATTTCAAACCACATCCCAGATGAAAATGCCCCCAATCCTAGGATGACCTTTTGAGAGCCACTGCTTGGTAGTGTCCCCATCTTCCAATCAACCAGAAATTAAAAGGCATTTTCTTATATTCTATCCTGAGAGTTTCACATACGATTCTCCTGGTCTCGAAGAAGGAAACCAGTGGCAACTCACTCCAGGATCCGTAATTTACAGTCGCGATGCCGCAGGGCCCCGCAGAGCAGGAGGATCCCGTCGTCGCGTAGGCTGTTCAAACTCAGGTCTAGACTTTTCAGGGTTTGACTTTTAGGGAGCACAGAGGCCATATCCTGACAGCAATTAGAGGTCAAATCACACTTTCTCAGGCTGCAAAGAAACACAGGTCAAGAAAAACCAACCAAAACACCCTTAGGTTTACTTCCTCCTTGCTTTTTTCTTTATATAACAGCTTTATCAAGATGGAATTAACACACCGTACAATTCACCAATTTACAGTGTACAAACCATTGGTTTTTAGCCCAATTCTTCCCCTCAACCCACCCCAGCCCCAGCAGCACTAATTTGCTCTCTCTTTCTGGGGATTTTCCTGTTCTGGGTGTGTCATAGAAACAGAATCATAAGGTGTGCGGCTTCTTTCGTTTAGCATAATATTTTGAAGATTCATCATTCATGTTACACAGTAGCATGAATCAGCTCTTCATTCCCTTTTATGATTGAATAATATTCTGTTGTCTGAATACACCACACACTTCATCTCCTTCATTGGCTCACAGACACTTGGGTTGTTGTCGCTTCTTGGCTATTTTGAATAAATGCTATGAACATTTGTATACAAGTTTTCACATGGATACAGGAAATACAGACTATGTGAAGTCTGTATTTTCCCTTTTGAGGGGCCGCCAACACTGTTTTCCAAAGCAGTGGCAAAATTTCCTGCTTCTTTTTGCAAATCTATCTCAATGGTTCAGGGGGTATTTTGTGCCACTCCATGCATTTCACAAACACTTGCTGAGCTTTATTGTGCTTTGGGCACTGGATTAGGTGATGGAAATTCACACAGGCCCCTACCCTCTGGCAGCTCAGAGTTTAATGTGAGACGAAAAATAAAGAGGCAAATGAGATAGCTGTGGTTTCAGGGATGTCCTGGTGAACCAGCTCTCTGGAACAAACAAACAAACGCCTTGGTTTGTAGTGATTGCCAATTACCATGGTGTAAACACTTCTATCACGGCCGATTTCATACTGTGAAACTGACACTCCCAAAAATGGAGTTGGGAAGAGACTCAGCTGGCTCTCATGGAATCCTATACACCATGGGTTGTGACAAATACTTTGCAGGAAATAAACACAGCAATAAGGTGGAAGATAAGCTAGTAGAGTGGGGAGGTTGGGCCACTTTGAGGAGCATGGTCAGAGAAGCCTTTTCTAAAGGTGAAGCTGATTCAGGATCCAGGCAACAGGCAAGGCTGGGTGGCAACATGATAGCTGCCAGGTTGCCACCTCCCACCCACCTGAACATCGCTTGAACAACACTTACTTTGGCATCCACCTGGTACAACAGCACCCTGTGGCTTCCCTCCTGAAGCACTTGTTGCATTAAGTTGCCATTACCAATCCATGCCTATATCCCATGTCTTGAAGCTGGATGTTTTTGTAATTGTGATTTGTGGCTCTCTAATTAGTTAGAAATCAATTAAGTAGGTCATGATAACCATTTCAAAAAATAAAATTAAAAATAAATCAGAGTAGCAACTCAGAGGGTGCTACTGGCATCTAATTGGTAGATACCAGAGGTGATGGAAGAGGCTGGCATTTCTCATTCGCAGCACTGTTGACATTTTGGGCTAGATAATTCTTTGTCTTGGGGGGCTGTCCCGTGCACTGTAGGATGCTCAACAATATCTCTGGCCTATTCCCACTAGATGCCTCTAGCACTCCTCTCCCCCAAGTTGTGATAACAAAAAATATCTCCTGACATTGCCAAATGTCCCCTGGGGAGCAAAAACGCTCTTGGTTGAAAGCCACTGCTATGGACTGTAAGTTCCTTGGGAACAGGAGACCAGTTTGTCTTGGTTCCATAGCACAGTCCACCCTCCGTATCTGTGGGTTCTACTTCCACTGATTCAACCAACCATAGATGGAAGATATTTGGGTAAAAGCAATAAAAAATAATACAAGTAAAATACAGTATAACAACTACTTGCATAGCATTTCCATTGTGTTAGGTATTATAAGTAATCTAGACATGATTTAAAGTAGACAGGAGAACGTGCATAGGTTATATGCAAACATTCTGCCATTTTATATGAAGGACTTGAGCATCCGGGGATTTTGGTATCTGTGGGGGTACTCGAACCAGTACCCCCGAGCATACTGAGGGATGACAATACTCTCATCACACAGGGGCTCACTCAAATATTCTGGATAAAAGGAGAAAAAAGTCAAGGTGTAGACTAATTTCCCCTGAAAGGAATTTCAATGTACTGGGTCAGAAAAACATAATACATAACTGAGCTTTTCCCACTGAGGGAGAGTTATGCACCTGAGATGCAGTGGGCAGAAGTGGGGAAGAGAAAGTCATAATTAGGCAAACAGGTAGCTCAGAAGTGACCTGAGAGGTCGGCTGGGCTTTCTCAAGAAGTGAGCATCTGCCGTCATTTGCAGAGGCTGCCCGGACCATCTCCTTCACACTGCTGTGGGATCCTGGGGTACACGGTCTTGTTCGGAGGCAGAATACTCAGCTCTCACTTGGCATGACAAAGGGACAGATGCCATCGTCCTCACCCATCAGGGCTCAGGCATGTGACCTCCACTCACTCACCTGGGAACACCAGGGTTTTCCCCAAAGATATGACATCATCCAAAGGGAAGTGGCACATTCTAAACTCTGAATTCTGAGTGATTGTGACAAATGTGAAGGGACTTTGGCATTGACCCTTGGTAGCAGCATCCTGTTCTACATGCTCTTGTTGGAAGAGGTCCCAGGGACCAAGCATAGAGGCTGTTCTACCTCTGCCTTTCTGCTTTTATGAGCCACCAAGCTTCTTTACAGCATAAGACAGTTTGAGTTTAATTAATAAAAGACAAACGAAACTTGACACTTAAGGGAAATTAAAGGAAACTATTTGAAGAATTCATTATAAGGCGAGATAAACACCCAAGAGGATGTTATTTAATATGTTTTCTGGTCCATTCTGTTGAGTTAGCAACATGACCTACTTAAAGCAGGAAGCCAGGTCCCATTGCTTTATTCTGATCTCAGAGGCATAATGCTCACTGGAATGTCCAGGAGTGAGGTGAACACATTCGATCAGAGGTTTCCAAACTTTCTCAGTTCTCACCATCCTTAGCATCTCAGTACTTTTTTTTTTTTTTACATCATCCTTGTTCCTCATTAAATATTGTGTTGCACCTGTTCCCATGACAGCAATGGCTGCAAACCTAGCTTTGCAAAGATTTAAAAGGAATGAGTACAAAATCTCATGCTGTAACTGAATGACCTCGAGCTAGAAGTTCCTGCAGTGATGAACAGATGTCAATATTCCCTAAATTGAAAACGCCCTGTGGTCCCTCTGTGAGCTTACTCCGGGGTGCACTGGCACACAGCTTGAGAACTCTGACAGTGGATAATCTGCCTCTGAAATGGAAGTGGTAACAGCCCTCCTCCCTCTTTATTATGCTCCACCCCCCACCCCCATATCAGCACAATGCCTAGTGTGCAGCAGGCACTTAATAAATGAATGTATAGCAGGTTCTCTCAATCCCTCTGTTCTGCTTCAGGAGTTCCAAGAAGAAAATACCTTGGGTTTACACCAACCTCTGCAGAGGACACGTCAAGTGTTCTAAGGCATTCCAAATACGCCTGGCCCCGTCATCTTTCAAGGCGTTTTCTGCCAAGTTCAGGTGGGTCAGCCTCTCACTGTGCCTGAGATAGGAGACAAGGCTTTTGCAGGTAAGCTCTGTGAGGCCACAACTCTCCATCCTGTGGGAGAGAAACACACAGAGGAGATGCAATTCTATTCTTCCCCATGACTGGGTTTTCCTTGTCTCATGCTGAGGGATGATAATTTCTGTCTGGGCTCTCTTTCCGAATGCAAATGCCTCCTCCCCGCTCTGCTGTCACCTCTGAGGGCTTCTGAGCTTTACAGGAGAAGACAGCAGCTCTGATGTGAGGAGGCGGGGTGGAGGAATCGTGGGTCAAGGGAAGAGTTAGAGGTGGGATTAAGAGGGAAGAGAAACAGACCATAGATGACGAAAGAGTAAACAGCAGATACGGAGATGTCCCAGGAAGAGACATCATTTCAGAAGTTAAAAAAAAGGACAGATGCATCGTATACATGAGCAGACATACATATTAGACAAACTAGGATGAATAGTAAGATTATGAGAAAATGTGCACTAGTAATCAAGGAAATGCAAATTAAAACAGTAAGATACCATCTCCTGCTCAACAGATTGGCCAAAGTTGTAGTAACAAGGATATTGACAGTAATGACTGGATGAGAATCTGGGGTCATGGGAATATTTATACGGGCTGCTGGTGGGACTGCAGATTGGCACATCTGGAAATAAGCCAGTAAAACTGGACATGAACACTCGCCACAGCCCAGAAATTCTGTTCTTAGAATGTTTACTACAGCATGTGTGTGTGGGTGTGTGTGCATGTGTGCATGTGTGTGCATGCGCTCACGTGACTGCATGTGTAGTTAACAACTGGGAGCAGCCCATGCCTCAGCTCAGGTAGGACGTGCAACTAAACTGGTGCATATTCACGCAAATATTCAGTGGTGAGGAGGAACTGACTGTGGAAGCAGCTAAACACAGATGAACACTAAAATCATGATGAGAAGAAGAGCACATAGCAGACGATGCCATTCATTTAAAATTCAAAGCAATGCAAAATTGTGTGATGCCCTGTTTCAGGACATGTGTGTAGTTAAACTATAAATAACATTGAGGAGTCTGATCAACTCAATGCAAGATGGTTATCATGGTGAGGGCGGCATCAACAAACTCAGTGAGGAGAGAAAACAGAACAGATGACATTCAACCTCATAAACTGCAAGATGGATACCCAGGGCTCATTATCACGATGCATTCTAGGACATCAGGTATAAATATTAACATACGCCTTTATGTAGATATTTCGTTTTTCATTCTCCCTTGGCTGGACTCTTATTGACTTATCTATACAATTACGTCAATCAAGGCTTATGTTTGTTCCAGCATAGGGAACTAATTAAAAAGCTTCTGCACAGCCAAGAAAACTATCATGAGAGCAAACAGACAACCTACAGAATGGGAGAAAATTTTCGCATGCTATACATCCGATAAAGGGCTGATAACTAGAATCTATTTAGAACTCAGGAAAATCAGCAAGAAAAAATCACACAACCCTATCAAAAAATGAGCAAAGGATATGAACAGAAACTTTTCAAAAGACGACAGAATAATGGCCAACAAACATATGAAAAAAGGCTCAACATCTCTAATCATCAGGGAAATGCAAATCAAAACCACAATGAGATGTCGCTTATCCCCAGTGAGAATAGCCTTTATCAAAAATTCCCAAAACAGCTTTGTCAA